CCTTGGAGCACCCGTTGAATCTGTATTATTAATAATTATTGGTTGCTAGATAGTATTACCACAAATTTAGCTGCTCAAAACAGTGCACATTAATTATTTTACAGTTTCCATAGGTCAGAACTACTGTTGCAGGTTATTTGGATTCACTGTTTCCAAGTCTTGCAAGTCTGCAATCAAGGTGTCAGTCAGGGCTGCTTTCATATCTGAGGTTCAACTGGAGAATGATCTACTTCCAAGCTCACATGGTTGCTGGCAGAATTCATTTCCTTGCAATGTATTGGACTGAGTCTCAGTTTCTGGCTGGCTATTTGATGAATGTTACCCTCAGTTCTTTGCCTCCCAACATGGCCACATCATTAAAGCCAACAAGGTAGAGAGCCTCTTAGCAAGAGGGTGTCATTATCTGATGCATCATAATGGTAGAGGTGGCATTCAATTGCTTTTGCCATATTTTAATGGTTAAAAGTAAGTCACTGATCTCACTTACACTCAAGGCGTGAGGGTATTACACAGGGCATAAATACCAGGAGGTGGCCGTCTTAGCCTTTGTCTGCCACACCACTCCTGATTTTTGTTCCAGTGGTACTGTTCTAGTTTAGTTCTGTTCCAGATAGAAAACAGAATCATCTCTATTGATTCAAGAGATTTTAATGAGAAGAACATTTACAGTTATGTGATGAAAGATAAAGGAATTTATAGGGAGGTTCCCAGAGAGCAGTCATTGTGGTAAAATAGACCCTGATGATATTCTGCCTCGATGCCCTTTATCCAGTCATGCATCCCTCCCTGAAGGACTAAAAGTGTTGACTGATAATGGCTCACAGCTGCTCCTTTTCTGGGGAATGCCTGATTGCTTTAAGCCATGGGAAGGAAGCAACAAATCTAAGAGTTTATGTCCTGCCACCCCCATCCCTAGCATGACACTCTCACATGGAGTTAAAATAGGCTGAACCTCTTTCCTCAAGGGTACAATTCATGTCCCAGAGCTCCTATGGAATCAGATTGAAGCTGGACTCCAGCTGACACCACCTCTTTCCTTCCCGTACTTTTCTTCTCTCCTCTGAGATAAGGAAATCAAGTGCATCTGAATCCTTGTTTCAGGATTTACTTCTAGGATGCCCACTTTAATAAGACTGGCAAGAAAACATTACTAACCCTAAGCCTAAAGGAGTAAGGGGAGGAAACAGTGTTACCAAGGCCAGTGAGATCTGAAGGTTTGCAGATAGAGCTATGGTCATTTGCGTGGCTACTGCTAAAGATCAGGTAGGAGTTGGGAAGAAATATACTGTTCTCTCTCTCCTCCCTTCAGCAAAACTGCATCCTTTTAGTGAAACCCAATGTAACACTTGCCAACAATGTGCTGGCAGTCAACAGAGGTAAGCCTTTTAGGGCCCTGAGCAGAGGGAAGAAAGTAGAAACAATGGGAAAAGTAGGAATAGAAGTGACCAGCAAAACAGCCTCATATAATCACGAATGTTTTTCTCTCCTTTAGTCCAACCATCATATCAGTACTTTATCAAATATTTATTTGATTGTGCCCATTTCCCAGCTTCAAATCTTTTGTTTCCCATTGCTTGAAGAAATAATCCATAAAATTTCTGAATCATTTATTCCATTGTTTAAAAAAACTCTAAACATGTGCCTCCAGTTCATATGTTCATTCACTGATAAACTACTTAAATTTACTATCATTAATAACTCAGAGCAAGAACTGCATTCACTTAATATAGAATATCCTATCAGTGATTGTATATATCAACCCATATTTCAAGAAGCCTTGATACTTTTTAATTATCTTGAGCAACTGTTAACATGTGTGATAATATTGCTACCAATTTAAGCAAGTATGATGGCCAACAGGAACCTCAGACTAAGAGAAAATATGTCACCTCTGCTATTTCGTGGTGTTTGGTTGCCTACAGTATTTTTTTATATTTAATAAGATTTCTTTGCAGTAATCCATTGGGGAGGTAGGCGTAGTTAAAACTAAATATTGTGATCTGAAATTCACTTAACCAGGCCTATGTGAGCCAAAACTGTTGTAACAACCTGAAAATGAATAAATGAGGGAGGATGAGACAGTTGAATCTCTGCATTGTGGGAATCCTGTCATTCCCATCAGATGCCTTGTGAATTGCACATAACATGTGATTATCTTTTATATGGACCAAGAGAGGGATTTTATGGAATATAGGAGGATTCCCATAGAGCCAGCCAATGGTTTGGCAAGAACACTGTTTGAAGAATAAATTGTCTATCTCAGGAAGTTTATAAAGCAGCTTCACAATATTAGAAGAGCTGTCACCATTGTTTTACTGTCTGACTTGTGAACCTGTGAGAGTTATTGGTTCATGTGTATGAATCCTCAATAAACTGATTTGAAAGATGACTATGTGCTCTTAGATGGAGGGTAGTATGCTCAGATTGTGCAGATTTCAAATAGAGAAGACACTTAAATGGGCTTTTAGAAGTTTGGTCTTAATAGTGAGTCATGTAAAAGGTTTTTAGTTGGTAGTGGAAGCATGGATGACTTTATCTGAAGATAAGTCAGAACACAGTAATAATAGCTACCACCTTTGGAGCATTCACAATATAGCTGGTATTGTGGTAATCACATTGCATATATTATTTAATCTGCTCTTTAGAGCAACTTTTCAAGATAGGTATTACCACCTGAGAGGTGAAATACCCTGCCCAAGGTCACATGGTCAGTGAATGGAGGAGTCAAGATTTGAATTAGGAATTATGTGTTTCCTTGACAGAATCTTTTTGTATTATACCTCACAATCAAGACTGGTATTAGAGATGTCCCATTTTATCATAGCTCACATAGTATTTTACATACAATATGTATTTTCTAACACATATTAAAACAGTGGATTTGGAAGAGATGGACACGTCAGGAGCCTACAAGGATAGGGAAAGTTAGAAGGGACAATGATGGCTCTTAGAGATAGGAGAGGCCAGTGAAGGCTGCAGATGAAGATTTTCTCATATGTAAAGATTCCAAGGAGCCAGTTAATGCATTGGGAAGGCAGAATTCAGGAAGATATTGATTGAAGAATAAGCTGTTCTTATCAAACCGTTGATAAATAGCGTTTGCAACATGCTTACAAATCTGTCTGAACAAAGCCATCTTTCCACCAGCTGATTCTTTCCCTCCCATTGCTTTTTTGTAAATTTCATTTTCCGTATACTCTGTCACCTTTGTTGCTGTAGTGAATGATCTGCTCACAACTTGTAAAAATAGAGGGAAAATAGTTTATGAAGCTATAGACTTATAATCTGCGTGTTTCCTGTATTTGAAAAGAATTTGTTTACAAATAGAAGGGATGTATGGCTCTGTACAGAGGTTGAAATAAATCAAGGATATTTGTTGTATCCACTGTTCCTTGGTACATTTGAATAGTTCTCCAGCTAAAGGTTTTACCTGTGGTAAAAACAACAGCAAAAAAAAGTAGCTTTGGGCTGGGAGATAGAAAACTGGTACTCCAGCCCCAGCTCTGCCATTAGAATAATTTGCACAATATGGGCAAGCTGCCAGTCCTCTCTGAGCTTGAATTTTCTCATATGTAAAAAACAAATGTCCCAAAGTTCCTATTAATGTTCACTTTGGTGGAAGATAGAGCAGCTCTCATCCTAAAACCAATTTCTCAACACATATTAAAACCAGAATTGCAACTCTCCAAAACCACAAATTTCCCTTACCTAATATTTTAGAACTGAGGTTAGTAAACATTTTCTAAAGAGGGCCACGTAATACGTAAATATTTCAGGCTTTGTGGGCCATGCAATCTCTATTGCAACTACTCAATTCTGGCATCGCAGTGAAAGGAACTGCAGATAACTACATAAATACATAAATGAATGTGCATGCTTGTGTTTCAATAAAACACTATTGGTGTGCATGCGTGTGTGTGTGTGTGTGTGTGTGTGTGTGTGTAATGTATGGTGTACTCAGCTGAACCTAGTGTGGTGTTGGTACCAAGGGGAATCTCACTAAATATTTGTGGAAAAAGGGAAGGAGAGAGAGAGGAATTATTCACATTTTATAGATGAAGAAATTCCACTGCAGACCACCAATGCCATGTGAGGCTGTCATTTTCCCTGACGAATCTACAAGGACACAGAATCGCATAAGCAAAGTATTGAATTTTGCTCCTAAGAGAATCTTACAGGTGTAGTCCTCTTCAGAGAAGGAGAGCACTGATGGCCTCTGGTGGATCACTGGGGCTGTGGAATGCAAAGTGTTTTTATAAAGGATATCACATGGAGATGGACAGGTGGCCTGGAATACTTAAATGTAGCTGCTGTTTCCACAAGTTCAGAATAGGAAGCTTTGTGCTTTTCCTCCCCATCCCTTTCCCCATTTTGATTCTGAGTTCTGATATGGCAAGTGGGAGTGGGAAAGGGAAAGGTGAGAATGGGATCATGAATTTGGGGACAGGGACTCAGATGCTGGGCCTCTGTCTTGGAGCTGGCTTGCTGATGGCATTTTGAGAAGATGGGCAAAGTTTTAGGGATGGCAAATTTGGCTGTTTCTTCAGAAAGAACAATGTACTTTTCCATGCCATCACATAGGAGTTAAGTTGGATTTTTAGTCTTGAAAACTTGAGATGTGATTAAATTGATGAACCAACAAATCTGTAAAATATCACACAAGCCATGCACTTATTATAGAGCTGGATTAAAGTTTGCAGTCTATTGAACTAATTTATTAATTTTATTTCACAGACCAAAAATTTTACTATGCAAATGTATGCAAATCATTGAAGAAAATAGTATTCTTAGCCAAGTGCACCAGCACCTGTTTTTTCTTTGTTTGTTTGTTTTGATTTGTTTCACTGGAACTGTGCCACTGGGTTGGAAAGTGAGATAAATATCTTCAGTGTTTGAAACTGTGTGTCAAATTTTCTGAAGGGTGATTGGGAGGCTTTCTCCTTTGACAAATATTGTGGTGATTGGCACATCTTTTTTCTTCTTTTACTTGCCTAAAACAGAATGAAGAAGATGAGCAACATTTATGAGTCGGCTGCCAACACACTGGGAATCTTTAACAGCCCCTGCCTGACCAAAGTTGAACTGCGTGTGGCGTGCAAAGGCATTTCTGACAGAGATGCCCTTTCCAAACCAGACCCCTGTGTCATCCTCAAGATGCAGTCTCATGGGCAGTGGTTTGAGGTAGGCATGTCCAATGAAATGGACAGAGGCATGACTGGATGATTGACTCAAAAATGTTTTGATATTTTATATCTTCAGGTGGTTTATTTTGATGAGCTAGAACTTTTGAGAAGTAAATATCATCACATTTCTATCATGATGTTTTGATGTTGCTGTGTTGATGCTGTGGGTTTTTTGACATTTAATTCATGGGCCTAAGACTTTTAAGGTGTTTTTGTTAATTACCAAGAAATATTCACAATATACTTTTCAGCCTATGCTTGCTCATTGGAAACACATAAGTAGCAAGAGGACCAGGAACAGACATGAACCCACACCCTAGAATGGGCTGGGATGAGAAAGTTCCAAAAACTGGTTTCACAGACTGTCTTGTGGTCAAGGCAGAGTTCAGATTAGACTTAATTAGAATTTTGGGAATGGCAGCTCTGAGGAAACAAGTTTTAGGGGGTTGAGAGAGAAGTGGCTACTCAGATGGAATGAGTTCAGTAGTGAGAGTCCTATCCATAGGTCCTGAATTGAGAGAAGGAACCAAGAGAACAGTTATGAGCAAGTCAGTCCCATGAAGTCTCGGTCCGCAGAAGAGGGGCAAGCTCCAGTTTTGGGAGCTGGGCTGGGCTACTTACTATCCAGGGTAGCTGGCCATAACTGAGAGGTAGGAACCAAGACTTAAGAAGTCAAGTTCTCTGACCAAGCCCAAAAAAGGGTGGCTGTTAGATGGAGCTGACACAGGGCAAGTCACAGGTCAATAGAGAACCATAAGTTCTAGAAAGTGTTGCAGACCCAAGAGAGCCACGTGGAAACCCAACAATGGTAATGAAACTAGTCCTCAGGACTGAAGAAGTGACCCATTCTAAGCCCCATGGGTTAATGGGGCTGAGTGGGATGGTTACCTCAGTCTGAGTTGGTTGGGGACTGGAGAAAGATGAATCCTACATGTGGAAATCATGAGTAGATTCATCAGGAAGGAGATGGGGATGGCAGAAATAGGAGGAAAGGGCTGGGGGCCTATAAGTTCAAAAGGCCAGCTTGCAGTTTTAACTAGCTTTGAAAGGTAGCAAAACCACATTCAGACATTCCCAAAAACTTGTGTGTAAAATATCCACTCAGAATGTTTCCTAACACACACAGTTTTCTGTGCTTGTGCAAGGCGGCTGTTCCCTTGGCAGTGGTGTGAATGGAATGGCATTTCTGTGAGTCATTCTTCAAAGGGTGATGGGCTCCCAAGTTGTTGAGAGATGACTTGGATTTTTTTTTTTAAAAAGTTATTCTGGGAAGGATTTACTCATTTTTGTGCCTGCTGCACTCTAACTGATCATGGACCCAGTAGGGGACACATCATGACATATTTATTTTTTGGAGCGAGAACCTAAAACAGTATGACCTAAACTTTATTGGGTATTTTTTAAGTGCCAAACGCTAGTCTAAGTGCTTTACATGAAATTACCAATTTAGTGCTTTCAAAATTCTATGAGACACTATTCCCATTTCATAGACAAGGAAATGGAAAGACAAAAAGATTAAGGATTTTCCTAAGAGCCGTCAGCTTGTAAGTGGAAAAGCAAATACTGAAACCCATACATTGATTGGCACCCCAGAACCTGAGATCTTTACTGTTATTTTATAATTATGTTGGACACTGGTATCAGTCTTTGGTGGTTTGTGTGGCAATATTGCGGGTTGAATTCTGCAGCTAGGTTTTGTTTGTTTATTTTAAATTCAAAACAAATTGGATGAGGACTGATTTTAAGGTTTTTTGTTTTTTTTTCCTTTTTTGCATCTAGATATCTCGTCTAAGTAAGCCTTGTTTTTAAAGATCTAGCTGTGGTGAATGGAAATAGGGAGGGGAAGAGGATGTAGCAGAAGAAGGAGTTCTTAAGAAAATCAAGTACTCAGAATAAGGGATTTGAAGCCATGCTGATCAGGGCAATAAATAGACCTGTTTTGGATCCCTTGGACCAAATTCTTTAAGCCTTCGATACTTCTCTCACCTGTTTATAAACAGCCAGAAGGTGCCCCTCTAAGAGACAGTCTTCTACTGTTTAGTAGAAAGAAGGTTGAAAAGACCTGAGAGACACCATGTTTAGTTGTATGTACATATGTGATACCAGCTACTTCTTTGAAAAAGAGGCTTGATAGCAGTTAGCAGGTGAAATTTAGGTGAGGAGGCAACATACATAGAAAATGAATATGGATAGGCAGATTGGGGATCTTAATTTAACTTCAGGCCTATTGAAGGCTTAGAATGTAAATGTCAAACAGTATTCAGGGGTGTCTTAATGCATAGTATCTTTTTTCCTACTAAATATTCTCGTTAAGTATGTTAGTAGGTCTCATTATTATTTATTTAACAAAACTAAATGAAATGCCTACATTATAAAAAAGTAACTCCTTGGAAATTAGAGGTAAGAAATTCATCTACTTATAACCCCTAACATAATTCAACCATTATTTGTATATATTTCTTTTTAGTCCTTTTATTTTGGCATGTTTATTCTCATATGAGTATTATCATGCTTGTAAAATTTTCTTTCTTAATTTTATTGCTTAGTAGTATGTACTTTTCCTTGCATTGCTACAGTATTGATCATTGTAATTTCAAAGGTGCACAACATCCCATCAAATGGATTTATATTTGTCAATTTTTTCACTTTGAAATTGCTTCCAAATTTACCCTATTTTAAGTAATACCGCAATAAATGTCTTTGTGCATGAGGATTTTCCCTTCTTTTTGCATGAATTCCTATAAGAGATTCTGTTAAAGAAGAGCTGGAGAACAAAGAGATAGGAAACTTTTGAGGCTTTTGATACGTATTGTCAAATAGCTTTTCCAGAGTGTCCTGTTACAGTGTTCCTATAGCACACAGCTACCACGAACTTTGCCTCCCGTGCACAGTGATAAGAACCTTGTGCCACAGTTAAATTGATTCGTGGCTTCCTTTATCTAGAAAGTCTCACTCTGTAACCAGTAAGAGCCGCTTAATTCCTAGCACGCTTAGTCATATGGTTCATTTATATTCTGGTACTTCAGAAGTAGTTTAACAAATTTTGCTCTCTTAACAATATACAGTAAGGTTATAATCAAGAAAACAAAGCCCATGCCAGGTGGCTAAGAGAAATAATTTAGATAATTAGTAATAAAGAAGCTGAAAATATTGAGAAACTAAAAGGGGCTGTGAAGAAACCTAGGGATGAACAACAGAAACTCTACTTAGGGATGGAGCAGTCATGCGCTGGAGTCAGCTTACATAGGCTCCTGAGAGCACACTGTTACATATTCAGGAATTTTGCAAGTCAGGGTGTTTTTGCACCACAGACAGTGGCGAGTGTTTCACATCAAGGCTTCTGCCCTTTCCCCAACCCCCTAAGGGAGCCAGCACTCCTCTGGGTGAGAGGGACAAAAAGAGAAGATAGTAGTCCCAGAACCAAATAGCTGGGCCATCTAGTAGAAGCTGGTCATGGCTGGAGGACCTATCTGGTAGGAGAAGGAAAAATAGAGGAGTTGTAGGCAGGGCTGGAAAGGCTGCCTCGAAGGGAGGAGATACCCTGGCATCTCCCTTTCAACTGTTCTCTGATCTCCCATCAGTGCCTTCTAATGGGCAAACCTTGCTGGAAGCCAGTTGACACAGTTTGCAGGGAATGGATATAGAATGCATTTGAGGTCAAGAGATCGAGACCATCCTGGTCAACATGGTGAAACCCCATCTCTACTAAAACTACAAAAAATTAGCTGGGCATGGTGGCACGTGTCTGTAGTCCCAGCTACTCAGGAGGCTGAGGCAGGAGAATTGCCTGAACCCAGGAGGCGGAGGTTGCAGTGAGCCGAGATCGCGCCATTGCATTCCAGCCTGGGTAACAAGAGCGAAACTCCGTCTCAAAAAAAAAAAAAAAAAAAAAAGGAATGCATTTGAGAACAAAAAGGTAAAAATGACCAACATATAAATCTTCTAACAACTCATGGTGACTTGGAGAATCATTCACTCAGATATCAAGTAGTGCATGTTAATTTAGTACCAATACCTACTTTCTGTACATGTTCAATGACTGGTATCTACTCCGTACCTATGCGAAAAATAAAGAAGCAGCTGACAGTCTATTTGAACCACTTTGCTACCAGTATTTATGTTTAGTTAAGGCTAATGTATATGAGGAATGCACACAAACATCATTTGTTGATGTGTACATTTTCCTGTATACACCCCCTGGAAAGTGTCTTGACTTCCAGAGAGATTTCTATGTATAGAGTTACAGAAGCAAAAGAAAGCCTTGTGTAGTAGAATTCATGCTGGTTGTGTCAGTTTCCTGGGACCTTCATAATGGAGAATCTGGCAATTGACTAAGTGGAGAAAAAAACAGAGAGGCTAAACTAATTTGTATAATGGAGAGATTGTTGAAGAATGTCAGGATGAGAGAGAGAAGGGCAAGATAAGCGTATCTTTCAGAGAGGATTTTAAAGTTTGGCAAAAGAGAAACTTTATCTAGATAAGCTCTATCCAATAGAATGCCCAACAATAAATGTCCTTATATCTGTGCTGTCTAATAGCATAGACACTAGCCATATGTAGCTATTGAACACATGAAAGGTGGCTATTGTAACTGAAAAGCTGTTCATTATTTAATTTTAATTAATTAAAATGTAAATAGCTAGTGTGACACCAGAGCATCTTTGGCGTGCTAGAGAATTTGGCTAAGATGGGGAGGAGAGTAAAGGGGGCTTCTAAAAATGTTACCATGAGTTAGATGTGGTGACATAAGCACATAATCCCAGCTACATGGCGGGCTGTGGTAGCAGGATTGCTTGAGCCCAGGAGTTCAAGGACATCCTGGGCAACATAGTGAGACCTCGTCTCTTAAAAAAAATTGTTACCATGGACAATTAATTTGGGGAGATGGGGATGTAACTAGAAATTAACATTTCTTTTTTGTTACTTGTGATTGCTCCACTGTACTTCTTCTAATGTAATTCCCACAGACAAATGGCCCTGTGATGCCCTAGTTTACAG